GTAATTGGAAACACTTTTTGTCTTGCTTTCTAGCTGCAACCTTTTTATCTTCTTCTGGAAATACAAATTGGTTGCATTTGTAGTTCGAACAAATTCCCCATTGTCCAGATTAATTTATACTTCTTAATTTAAATAACCATCTCTTTGTTATTGTATATTTCAATTTTAAAATGACCGTAATTTCAGTGGTAGTTCTTGCTAAAGACTGAACATCTTAGTCTTCCGCACCTTAAGATGGAGATGGATAATTTTAATTTGATGGATTTAAATTTTAACCTATAGGTTTTTTACCTTAGAAGTCATCAAACATTAAAAATTATGGGTTCAATAATTTGATATTTCTTGAGATTATAGTGATTTTTCACATTGTATCAAAAGTGCCGTGATCAATTATATTTAACCCATAGATAAAATGCTACATCCGTCACTGCCTTAAGAAACGACCTTTTTCTTTTGGGGTCATGAACTAAGAGAATTGTAATTTAGTTGCAAAGATGATTTAGGATCTGTTTGGTTTTCATATTGTCTGAAACATTATTCCATTTAAATAAGAAATTGAGTTTCGACTTGACCAAATTCCCGTCCATTCATATGCAGGAGCAAATTGTTGAAGAAATGAAAAGATTCGTCCATTTCTTGTTTTCAAATTCTGTAATTCCAGTACTGAAACAAATTAAAAGCACATTTAGACCTTTCAATACCCATCTTATGAATTTTAGCTAGCACAAAGTAAAATAATTGAGCAGAACACTCTATTTGATAAGCAAGAACTAAGAAACACTACATTGGATCAAGCTATTGCTAAAGTTCCAATCATGAATACCAGGAAAACAACTATGAAGAACCAAAATTGACCTCCTAAAAGAATTTCCGTTACTAGTAAAAAAAATATTAAGATACAAATTCGCACTATGGAGGAAATGTTTATGAATAACTATACTTTCAAAAAGAATTGAATTTAATCTCTGAAAATTTTTTTGGTGGGGAGTTTCAATCTGCAATCATCACACATGAAGTTTTTGGTCCAATTTGTAGTCATTGAACAAGATGACAACATTAGATCATGGGGAAGTTTTCAATGTTTAAAGGGATTTTTACAAAAATAGCCGGCCATATTCGTTATTTATTTTTCCTATAGATGGCAAGACGCGGAAAGCGAGGGTCAGATGGTTCGGGCACATGCTGAGGAGAAGCCCAGATGCCCCGATAAGGAGGTGTGAGCGGTTGACTTCGACGGGTACGAGAAGAGGTAGAGGGCGGCCTAAAAAGTATTGGGGAAAGGTGATTAGGTAGGACATGGCGTGGCTTCAGATTTTCGAGGACATGGCCGTTGATAGGAAGGTGTGGAGATCGAGTATTAGGGTTGTAGGTTAGGAGATAGTTGAGCATTTGTCTACTTTGTACAGGTGTGAGGCTAGTCTGATAGGGTTTTGTCTTAGACTGCTAGTGGCTAATATTGTGTTCACACTATTCTTCCGTCTTTACAGCGTCGGGCCTTATTTACTGGGTATTGTTATTTCTTTCCATCTATTTTCTGGTTCTTATGATGTTACTATTTCTATGGTTTCTATTGATAGTATTGATATATCGTCTCTTTTCGTCTTCTTGAGGCGAGGGTCTATCAGAAAGAGTCTCTCTACTCATTCGGGGTAGGGGTAAGGTCTGCGTACTTGTGAATTTTATTAGGTTGTTGTTGTTGTACATGAATTACATACTGATTATACACAACTATATGCATATTATACCTGAATTATCTATATATTATACATCTATCGATTATTTTAAGTTTAAGCGGATAACTGGACGGCTATTTAGGTTAGTTGTTAATGGCTGTTTTTTCTTTAAAAACTGAGTAAACAATCATGCAAGTTGGAACGTACGGATCATGTAAAAGAGTCTTAAATTCTTTCTAATTGGCCATTATGAGGTTTCCACTTTCCACCATGTACGTACCTTTCAAACGTGGAATGCCATAAATGAAATGGCCGTAAATTTCATACACCCAAGAGTAAAAGATACTTAGCTGTAAGTAGAAATTAGGCGTGCCGAATGATATAATGGATTCCAAATGGACCAAAACTAATTGCTGAATCTAACTATTTGTCTAAGCTTATCTGGACTATTAATTAGGTATCCAGTACATAGAGATAAGTATGATTGTTCAGCTTGTCTACTAGCTAAACACGGTAATGAAACATCTGTCTCTCCTATAGCTCGAAAGATCTAAATTTTTAGGTAAAATGGTATCTTAGCCACTTAAACTTGTACCGATTTGTCATCTCGATATATAAACTTTTATTTTTTTCATTTGGACACATATACTTGATGAACCGAAAACTAATAAACATATCTGAACGTGTCCTTCACTCGCGGTGACATGACTGACACGTCATATACTAAGCCTTTTATTCTTTAACATGTGTAATCTGTGGGGTCCTACTTTAAAAGAAAAAAAAATTATTTTACCAGATTTTTATTGACCTCTTTAAAAAAAAATTATTTTTTTGTCTTCTTCTTCATAGTCAAAGCTCATGCCGGTCCACTACCATTCCACCATATTCAATACTTAGCCATCATTAATTATTTTTTTCGATTCTCTTAATCTTAAAAATCGTCATATCATGAAAGTGTGGGAGAGGGTGGTTGAAGTGAGGGTGAAGATGATAATGTCTGTATCCGACAACCAGTTCGGGTCCATGCTGGGTCGTTCGACTACAGAAGCTATACACCTTGTTAGGAGGTTGGTGGAACTGTACAGAGAGAGGAAGAAGGATCTGCACATGGTCTTTATTGACCTAGAGAAAGCGTATGGCAAGGTTCCTAGAGAAGTTCTCTGGAGATGCCTGGAGGCAAAAGGTGTGTCGGTTCCCTACATTATGGCGATTAAGGGCATGTATGATGGGGCTAAGACTCGGGTTAGGACAGTATGAGGAGACTCTTAGTATTTTCCGGTTGTAATGGGGTTACACCAAGGTTCTGCACTCAGTCTGTTGTTATTCGCCCTGGTGATCGACGCGTTAACACACCATATTCAAGGGGAGGTGCCATGGTGCATGCTATTCGCCGATGACATAGTTTTAATTGATGAGTCGCGAACCGGTGTTAACGAGAGGTNGAGTCTTGTGTGACAAGAGAGTGCCACCAATACTCAAAGGTAAGTTCTATAAAGCGGTGGTTAGGCGGCCATGTTATATGGGGCTGAGTGTTGGCCCGTTAAGAACTCACATATCCAGAAGATGAAAGTAGCAGAAATAAGGATGTTGAGGTGGATATGCTGGCACACTAGGATAGATAAGATTAGGAATGATGTTATTCAGGAGAAGGTGCACGTGGCTCCCATTGATGACAAGATACGGGAAGCGAGGCTTAGATGGTTCGGACATGTTCAAAGGAAAGCTCAGATGCTTCGGTACGGAGGTGTGAGCGGCTAGTTGTGGAGGGCATGAGAAGAGGTAGAGGGCGACCTAAGAAATATTGGGGAGAAGTGATCAGACAAGATATGGCGAGGCTCCAGATTTTCGAGGACATGACACTTGATAGGAAGATGTGGAGGCCGAGTATTAGAGTTGTAGGTTAGGATGTAGTTGAGTCTTGACTTACTTCGTACTATTGTGGGACTAGCCATGTAGGGGTTTTGTCTAAGATAGCTAGTGACAATGTTGTGTTTTACTACTTCGCTTTTCAGTGCATGTCCTATTTACTAGCTATCGTTTTTGCTTTCCATCTTTCTTCTGTATTTTATGGTGTTCCTATTTTTCCTATGATTGTTGTGGTGATACTAATATTGTCTGCTTTTGTCCTTTTGTCTTTTTATTTTCTTAAACCGAGAGTCTTTCGGAAACAGACTCTTTACTCCTTTGGAGTAGGGGTAAGGTCTGCGTACACACTACCCCAAAACCTTATCAGTGGGATTTTACTGGATTTTTATTGTTGTTTCTTAATCTTAAAAATCGTCCTCTCAAAAGACCTAAATTAGTAAAATTAGCCATTGCATTAATGAGTCACCATAGGTCGAAAATTTTTATTTGCCGTGGACAATCCCTCAAACAAGAAAAAATTAAAGATGATATTCATTTTAATTTTTGCAATGAAGCTTTTAATGAAGAAAAATGGCTGTCTATTTTGATTCCCAAGGATGATGTGTTTTTAGGTATTTTTCAGCAGTTATAATGGGGAAGGAGACATAAGTTAGTAGATCTAGGAGATATTGTGATGTTTGGGAAGCCAGACCATTGGTTTATTTGAAGTAGTTTTATGAAGAATAGGTGCACCATTGTTGTACGGTGAAGAGCTTGAAAGCCTCCAATGAAGATGAAAAGGAAAAAAAAAGAGAGAGAAACAGAAGGACACGGCAATATTCATTACCACTGAATATTTTAGCCAAAAGTAGATGGAATAGGATAAGTAATAATCCCACCTGAAGGACAGGAAGATAATATTTATCCATGGAACTGAGAGAAGAGAACTTCTGCAACCTTATGTCGTGGGGGGCCCGGGGGGGAAGAAAAGAAAGGGAAATGGGAAATGGAATGGGGAGATGGGGTGTCGGGTGGTTATTTGAGATTTTTTTATTCTTTTTCACTTTTTATCTTTTCTTTTCATTTTTAATTACTTAGCAAACAACTTTCACGTGTCTGATTTGCGTGATATGCACGCACTATTGCCACGTGACACATATTGTTGTCACGTAAATTTGGTTAATGATCAAAGGTGTTTATTGCCACGGAGGCTATTTTGCCAAATTTTTATGCTAATCCTTTTGGTTTTATTCTTCCTAAACTTTCTCTAATGTTTCTTAATCATGCAACATTTTGATTGACAAAGAAAGTTTAGTCAATTTGCGAAAAGATTTTTAATCCTGATCAATAAAAATGAAGCGCAACGCAATCCATTAAATATTTGTACTCCGCATGCACACACTTAAAATTGCTCATAGAGTGGTCGCTCCTGAATATGAAGTCAAGAAACTGAGTCCTTAATATGAACTTGCCACAAGAAAGTTGCATTTTCAAAAATATATAATTATTGATCTCATATTAGACAAATCACTCTGTTTGACACCGCTACAGTACAAGACTATGCTTGATCATGGTTTTACAACACAACTAATTGCTACTACATCTAACCAAAGAAAACATGCACATCGCAGGTGCACCCAACTGTTACACGTCATACATCTTCAACCAACTTGATTCATAAGCTATACTTTACACAGTGAAGCTCACCACGAAAGTACCTTACTATTCATAACTCGAAAAAGTGAGGAACCCTAGTCTTCATCTTCACCATCGTAGTATTCTTCATCATCGTCAGTGCTCCCATAATAGTAGTCATAATCATCATCGTCGTCTTCTCTGTCATATAGAAGCCCTTTTATACTCTTGGTCCTCATCTGTTCTTGAATTCGGTCTCTTATGACAGTGCCCTGTTGAAATCCCAAGACATGATCAGACGAGCGAAGTTAAACCACTCATACAAGGACATTCAGCACTCTGGGTTGCCAATGTGGAATCACTTGTGTGTGCTTAGTGCTAAATTTTTCTTTTGCCTGGCAACTGTAGGAAATTGAGTACAAGATAGAGACAAGAGAAGAGGAGCGTGGGAAGGATGGGGGGATGGGAAAGAGGGAGAGTGATCTCACCATCTTGTGGCAACCCTCTTCAAACATCTCAAGGAAACCAGCAACCAATCTATCAGCATTTTCCACCCAAATATTCCGATGCTTTGCTACTGTTTGTATCTGCAATAAATAGTCTTTCAACATGTTTTGTGCTAGAAGACTATAAATAGCTATAAATAGCTTTAAACTGAAAGAGTATGATGACAGGCAATCTTCTTATGTTCATTTCATTAACATACATAAGAGCTATCAGAACGACTATGTATTGCTTCATTTATGGTAGCATGTTACAAAAGACGTAATAAAAAGAATCATGGATAAGAATTTTTTTTTTTCGCTTTTCTACAAACAATTCAGAGAGCTTTTTTTCACACGGAAACCTAGCATCTCATATGAGAAGTAGCATCTGCTATCATAGCTCATTCATCAGAAAATCGCAACTCCCACTGCCTCCACCCAAATTCTACTAGGTGATAAACTATTATGACTAATCTGTAGAATAGTAAGAGGAAAATTTACGGAGAAGGTAGTAATACACAGAGCAACACAACATTAACCATAATCGGATGCAAGCTCATTTACAGAAATAAATATATATTCCCTCCGGTTCAAAGAGTGTCCACTTAGCCTTTGTTTGTTGGTTCAAAATTAAGTGTCCACCTACCAAATCAAGAAAGAATTAACCTTATTTTTCCATAATAGCGCTTATTTACATATTCCTGAGTCTTTTAAATTGCTCTAATTTTCTATGATATCGTTAAATAGGAAATATTAATTAGGGATAGTTTAGTCAGATTACCTATTTTTCTAGGAGTTAGTATTTTCTTAAGGGGTGTGCAAATGGCTAAGTGGACACTTATTTTGAACCGGAGGGAGTATTATCAACCAAGCCACATCATAATGGGCAAGCAAACCCAAAAGCTCATGAACACTTCATTACAGATTGAGTGAACTAATTGCACTAATTTTAAAGCTCCAGCACTCTCACAACAAAGGAAAGCATACCAATGTGGACCCAACAAAGTCAAACCATTTTCACCAAAGGAATATACTGATGCATCTAAAAGTGGTTGGACATATCACCCTATCCATAAGGAAAAACAACTAAATGCACAAGCATGGATCCATGCTAATATAGCTATTATGAAAATATGGATCGCTACTGTATTCCAAGTTCCTATGCATGAGCCGAGGGTCTATCGGAAACAGCCTCTCTACCCTCTTGGGGTAGGGGTAAGGTCTGCGTACACTCTACCCTCCCCATACCCCACTTGTGAGATTTTACTTGGTTGTTGTTGTTGTTTCCTATGCATGACATAATGTGAATGCTTCATCTCCTAGGGTGACAACTTGACCTAATGAAATGCTGTCAGCTTAAAATATGAAGGATCTAATAACACGAGAAATGAGAGTTGTACACAGATGATAAAAAATTGAACACCTAACACAGAAAGCAATGTTTTTTCCCTCACTTTTAGTGATGGTATAATGTTGGAATTCCATTCTAGGATCAGGGGCGGATTTACCCCCATGATACAGTGCACGTGAACCCATGGTCTTTCCGCCAAACTAGGTACTTTATGTACATATTTCCAAGAATTGATTTAACATTATTTGTTGGTACCCATGCTCCAATAAGGTTGAATGGTGGGACTTGATTAAATGTTTGAGTTATTTACCCAAAGGCATAGGATTCTATTCCCACTTAATACTTCTTTTTGCTCCTTTCTTTAATGGTGCACCCATGTTCTAGAAGTCTTAGATCTGTCTTTGTCTAGGATGTGCCAAACCGACCCACGTAACACTTCGTATTATTCACATCTTATTAATTGTATCCTCCAATTCAACTTTACCTTACGTGCGCTCATAATACTACCCTTTCATTGCTCAAAGTGCCATTTGAAAACAGACACTCAAAATCTAGCGGCTGGAAGACCGGGATCTCAATTTCCTTTTTCCAGGTACAGTTTTTTCCAGGTACTTGCCAACTATATTCACAAACAACATATACTATGGAGGCTCTTCCACAAGCTCGCATTTGAAATTAAAGAAATGAAATGCATCATTAGAGTTTGTAAGTCATATAAAGAAGAGTATACCTTCTCTTCCACTTTTTCTTGTTGTTTCTTTACTCTCTCATGCAACTTTTTCAACCCCCTGTTCACTCTCAGCCTTTTTTCCTAAAAGAAGCAATAATGAGGTTAATACGTGGCAAAGCAAATAAAAAGCGAAATGTAAAGCTAATGCTAGGAGAAAGTCTACATCATCCAATTAAAACACTTTTTTCCTGAATATTAAGTCACCCAATTAAAACACTAAAGAGCATACCTTCACGTAGCTTAGACCAAGATCCTTCCTTGAATATCCTCGGTCCAAATTGCGCATCACATATTCATTGTAATCTTTTACAATCCTCATTATTAAATCTGAAGTAGATATTCCATCAGTCCGCTTGGTCTCCAAAAACTTACCAATGGACTTAACCTAATAACACAGGTTTTCACAATATTCACATCAGACAAGGCTTCAGCATGCATTAAGAGAGCATATCAAACTAGAGATCTTATAATGAAGGATCAACAATGAGTAAATCAAGAACGAATTTCATACAGCATGTTAAAAAAGATCCACAAGTTGCACATACCCTGATATATGCACACAAACATTGTACAGATACAAATTCAATTCTTTTAAAAAGAAACATTAAGGAATAAGGTAGAAAGTCTCCTATGATATAACTGAAGTTCATTATGGACTTACATACTCGTAAACATCATTTCCAGCTCCACTTGACAAATTCAATTCTTTTAAAAAGAAACATTAAGGAATAAGGTAGAAAGTCTCCTATGATATAACTGAAGTTCATTATGGACTTACATACTCGTAAACATCATTTCCAGCTCCACTTGCATCTGCATAACTGACATGTAGAGACAAGAAGAGGAAATATTAAAAGATAAATATCTATGAACCAAAAGAAAACACAAAACAAACAAATAATACAAGGCAAATCATACCCCGGGGGGTGGGGAGGGGGGGGGGACCTTGAATTAGTTATGCAAAGCTAATCCATCTTAAAGTAAAATAACGAATATAATATCAGAAGCTTCTCTAAATATCAGTTCCAAGGAATGAAGGAAACAAGGACCTCATGTATATCAACAGAAGTAAAAATTTTATGGGCCATTTAGCCTTACGGAAGAGCATCATGTGCCACATAGTCAATCTGATGTTTCTCAATGAACTCCGGGGTAACAACCCAAGGCGCATCTGGAATAACTTCATCAACCCATCTGCATCAATGCATACACAATTAACCTAAAATGAGGACAATATAGCACCCATAACACAATTTAAGATAAAGGGTGACATGACCCATCAGAAATTACATTACTAGACATTCTAACAGACTAACAGCACGTGCAGCTTCAGATAAAAACATATTCAGAAGTACGATTTCATGCAATATCATGCATATCACCTCCTTAGAAACCAAAAAATGTCAGCAAGAATCAGAATAGTAATTCCTACTATTAGATAGTTATGTGTAATTGGTTATGCTTGGTGTAATACAACAGAATAATAGTAGGTCCCATAAGTAGTGTCCCATATTATTTACCTATATATGTTTTTATCTTGTGCCTATAACAGGATCAGACATTAGGTTTCACGCATTCTCCAAGTCTTTTCTTCTTATCTCTTATTCCTCGTACAGTATCAGCGCTTGCTATACTTAGATACCGGTGGCAATCCAGGAGAAGAAATTGTTGCCCTGTAACCTTCAATGAGTGCTTGCGCAAAATCTAGTACCACTATAAGACCGAAATTTCCATGCAAGCACAACCCAAAAGGCATATCTAAGAGAAGAAAACTTTTGCGGCTAAAATATCTCATCGGCTGGCCCGTGAGGTAGTATCCGGTAAACTGCTTTCTTCTGACTCGCCAATCTCAATTCCCATCGAGGTTCTGACCAACTCTTATCACCGAACCCTAGCCCAAGACTGTCCACTTGTCCAGTCAAATTCCTTTATTATTTAGTACGTTTCAGTCAAATCCCAGAGAGCGTTTTTGTTTTATCATCTTTATGACCACTTTCAATCTTTCTTTCCAGCATCTTTGGAGTCAAATCAAGTAGGCCATCTAAATCACTTCCACTTAAGTTTTCCGGCACCCTAAGTTGTCAAGTTTAGCTCCGACATCTCTAGCAATTACGCAGTGAGTATATTTTCCCCTCAAACAGGATATTTCAGCAACCTTTTCTGATGGCTGTTTTCCAACACTATTCAGCAAACTTAACTCAATATCCTGTTCCATCTTCCATCAGTTTCAGACCCTTTCTCTAAGGTTTTGTGGCACTTCACTCTATTTTTTTTATTCTTTATTGAGCTCTCTTTCAACCAAATATTCTATTTATTGGATTTAGACTCTTTATCGAAAAATAAAAAGATATTCGGTCTGGTCTCTCAGGGTAAAAGAACATGGACGGGTTGAGTGGATCACATTATCATGAGCTAATTTTGCCACACGGGTTGAGTGGATCACATTTTCTGATGGCTGTTTTCCAACACTATTCAGCAAACTTAACTCAATATCCTGTTCCATCTTCCATCAGTTTCAGACCCTTTCTCTAAGGATTTGTGGCACTTCACTCTATTTTTTTTATTCTTTATTGAGCTCTCTTTCAACCAAATTTTCTATTTATTGGATTTAGACTCTTTATCGAAAAAGAAAAAGATATTCGGTCTGGTCTCTCAGGGTAAAAGAACATGGACGGGTTGAGTGGATCACATTATCATGAGCTAATTTTGCCACCCATTAGTCGTGATAATCACAATGTATTTCATAATGCATCAAATCCAGAATTTCATGACAAACCAAGCACATAAATATTATTGTGACCTTGTCGAAGAAAAGATACTCTCAAGAAATATTGTCACAGAGTTGATGAAGTCAAACGATCAACTTGCATACATTCAGCAGATATCCTCTAACAGGTCACGTGTCACAAACTTGGAACATACAACTTGACGCACCAACTTGATGAGGAGCTAGATAATTAAGTTTAAATAGTCATACCTAGTTTAACATAGGGGTAAATAGTCATACCTAGTTTAACATAATAGTAGTCTCCCACATGGGGTAAATATGCTATGTAAATTGTAAATTGAATCTATAAATAAATTCAGGTATAAGACATTCGTCTTCACACAATCTCTCACTCTCACCCTTGTGTCTCATATCTCACACCAACAAACCACATTTTTAAACAAAATAGCTAGAAGTGACCTCAACTATTCATCTCATTGGGAACCAAAAGGCAAATGAACAAAACAATATAAGAGTAAACAAAAGAATGGGGTTCAAAAATAAATTACAGACAACGTTCATTTTAAAAATCAAAGTTTCCCTCAATACACACAATATAAGAAACATCTACACGAGATTATAAGTTTAAAGGTGCATATAAGTTCATATTTTTGTATACGTATTCTGAAGACACCAGACAACTGAATGAACAATTAGACACTTGATCATTTCAGTATTACCGCAAGAAGAAAAAAACATTTCAGTAAAGCAGACTGAAGCAAATGCTAAATTTTTAACAGAATTGACAACTCCATTGAACTAACTTGCAGTGGCGCAGAGATTCATAGCGCTCCTTATCATTCATAACAGTTTTTCCCTTGTACATGTGGGTGATTTCATCATTGCAGCATCCAACAAGAAGATAAGTGTTGGGCAACCTACATTTTAAGCAATGAATAATTTAGTCTAAGCAAAACGTCAGTTCAATTTCACAAATTCGTCATGGCTTACAACTAATAAACAAAATTAAAATGCAACTTAGGCAAACATTTACTGTTTTTCCCTTTTACAGGCTAACTATTGCACATCTCAATAATGAGTTTTGGCTAATAACATCCCTGAACTATATCCAACTTAAGTTACATCCTTAAACTACCATATAGTGAACAAAAAACATCCTTGAAGTATACAAAACTTCGTTAAAAAACTAACAGAACGGAGGATGGCTTTCTTCTCTGCGAGCAGTAGGCCATGAGTGTGCTTGCTATGCTGGGTTTTGATGTTAGGAATAGAGAGGCATGAGACTGATTTATAGAGGATAGAGTGTGTTGCTAGAGTAGGGAAATGTACAAAGAACAATTTGCTCAACTCCAGTTACGCTGTTTTTGTTCTGTTACATTGAACTTGCAATCATCATTTTCTCAAAGAACATTTTGCACAAGAATGCATGGAAATTATCTTCCAGTTCTAGTGGGCGAGCACTAGAATGGTGGTATTGGGATCTTTAGGCACAAATCTTTTTTCCAACAGGTCTAATTTTAATCTCAACTCCAGGTTTCAAGTCACAGAAGAAGTTTGAGAAACTGCTTTAGCTACTTCGCCTTTGTCATTAGTGTTAACGAGCATTTTGACGCGCACAGAGAACTGTTCTGGAGTCCCCGAAGTCATGACTGTGAGCACTGCTAGCAATGGAGTCTGATCTGAACACTATCTGGGATACCAATGGATTTGCCTTCTCCATATGGATCTATCCTTGAGCTTCTCAATTTGAGCTTTACTGTATTCCATTTCTTGTTATGTCCCTGAGAAGTTAGCTGAATAACCCAGTTCAAGGCTTCTCTATAGTCTTGTTTGTTCCTCAGAAAGATTGCAGCTTTAGGTTCTGAATGGAGAATAAAGCTAATAAACCTTATATATTTAAGGACATTGAGCTAAGATTGCGTTTTGCATGCTTTCAAAACCAAACCATGGAAGGTAGTGGTGCCCCACACTACTTCACCATCCATACGTAACAACGCAAAGCCTTTCCCAAGTTCAGAACCCATAGAGGCTCTATAAATTCTTTTCATGCAACCAAATCATGCTCGATCACTTAGCTGCCGGTTGAATTATATAATAGCACTTTCGTGTAAACAAAACAAATTTTGTTGGATGTTGAAGATGATAGTGGAGGGGACAGATAGTAGAATTTGTAGGGATATTTTTTGTTCGCCGTGGTAGTACAAGGATGTAGTTTAAGTTTGAACTATAGTTAAGGGATGTTATTGGCCAAAAATTTCCTCAATAACTCTAGATACCTTTATCTTCCTACCAATATGCTACGGTGTAACTCTTCTCACCGAGGCTTAGGCAGAGTAATACAAATTAACCAGCTTTCTTTTTCGCCTATGATGGGATCCCTCTCATGACTGAACAAAATATACCAATTACCATTATCTCCCCAGTTCTCTCAGAAATCTAGCATCCCATTTGAGAATATAAAAAATAGAAACTGGAAAATTTTATTACAATCGAAGTCCATTACTTGTAAAATCATGGAGTAATATGCCACAAAAAATAAAATTGAAGGTTATAAAAACCATGAGTAAATAAAGGGAAATAAGAAGGAGAATAGAGAAAGTAATATACAGTTTTTTGGCTTGTTCAAGAGCGCGAGCATGGCCGAAGTGGAAGAGATCGTAGATACCGTCGGCGTAAATACGAGCCGGTCGATCTGTTGGCGGTGGATTCGGTGGGATTGGTTTCAACCGTCGCGGCTGCGGCTGTTGTTGCTGCTGTTGTTGTAATTGTGGATCTTCGCTTCCATTCTCCATTGTTTCTTCCTCTCTCTCTCTCTCTCTCTCTCTCTCTCTCTCTCTGCTATTGCTATTGCAATTGCAATTTGCTGTGCTTCCCAATATGACAATCGTAACGTTTAAATTGGAATTACTGTGTTCGTATTTATACATCTTTTGTTTCTTCCAACCCAGCCCCTACCCCACCTGCTAGCATCACACACCCTCAACACGGGGTACCGCTGCCGACCTCTCTTTACTCGAATTATATTTTGGGCCCCAATATATTTTAGTAATTGATTGGAGTAATTGATTTTTTTTATAATATTCAAAATCCACGTTTAATCTATATCTATATCTATATCTATTTATATTTATATCTATATTATTATAAAAGTACGAATAATTTATGTTAAATATTAAACGACTAAAATATCCCCGAAATATTGATTGACTTTTATGCCCTTAAATATTTATATAATTTAAGAATCTAATTGTAAATTATTTAATGATAGAATTCTTTTTCGATTTAAACTATACATATGGGCCCTACAAATTTGATCCTACTTGGATTAGAAAGGCACGTCCATAATTTCCTCTCTTTTTTATTTATATAAGATGCTACATATGCATATAATCAAGTAGCATGGATGGAGTTTTAACCTCTTTTTTGTATTTCGTGATTTATTTTATTTTATCCTTGTAATATTTGATTGATTTGGCAAAAGTTCTTAATTTTTATTTATTGTTGGATATTATATAGCTATTGAAAATTTTCTGTGAACAACAATAATTTTAGTTATTTTTTTTATTTCTCTCCCTATCTAACACGCGGTGCAAGATAAGCATAGCTATATTTGATTATTTGCATCACACAACATATTTAATTAGCAATGATGCTAAACTAATAGTAAAAAATATCGTTTTTTTTTTCGTGAAGCTAACCAAGAAAAGATTTTCCGATTCCTACTGTAGGAACAATGCCAGATATATTTTTACGGTGAGTGGCCTCCTATCGATCTCTAATTCTTATTTTCTGTCAATAAATATTATCTTTTAGTGGCAATTGAACTCAATTTCGCTCTAAATTATTAAACTTATCTGCCAACTTATCTCAACCTTCACTTGCCAAAAAATTTAAATTTTAATACCAGGATTGCAAATCACAATACCCAATCAAGAAGTGCAAACATTTTGAGATTGATGGGGACAAGAAAAAGAAAAAGAAAAGGGGAACCTCTCTTACTAAATAGCATGTGCAGTAAAATGCAAAATATATTTTTCCTCTTGTGTTTTTACGCTATTTTGATAATATGGCTATTTGGGATTATATGTTGCTCACGAGAGTCTCTTTCTGAATAGATATATGATTAAACTTTTGTGCATTATTGTTATGGAGATTAAATGAATATCAAAAAAATTTGTCACTTTGTTGTTGTCTGACAAAAATTGAGCCATTATATGCTGAAATAAGAAGGAAAAAAAGCTAAACAAAAAACGTAAAGCTTTGACTAATCATAATTGGATTATCTATCTTTAGCCTAAAAGCTTACATATAACCAATTATTTAGAATTCGAAGGTCCTTATATGCAGTAGAGTTATGGAGTTTTATATCTTTTTAAAAAATAAATCATCCCCTCGAGTAAGTAATAGATGAGTTTTTCATGTATAAGAGACTTATTATATGTAAGTCTTTTCGAAATTTATAGTAAAAATAACTAAAGAGACATACTCCTATCTTTACAAGTCTTACTAAAAATTAGTCGTATTCGGCCGAGAATAAAGATAAAAAGGATACAAAAATAACGAACTATACCAAGTAAGGGAGCAAGAACATGCCTTCTAGCATTAATTTCATGAATGAGAGCAAATTAAAATTTATGCGGTTAGATTTCTACTACTTCAATTTTTATGTCATAGTTCAACTAAATATGTTCTGAATATTAATGCAGTTAACAATATTACTATTTCTTACGTAAATTTTCCACTAAATGACAATAATTCTATAAACGACGTGGCAACGCACGTCTATAGAGACTAGTACTTTATTAAAATCACGAAAGCCCTTAGTGAAATGTCGTTCGCCTTTTTTACCCTTTAAAATCAATTTTATATTGGACAAAATCGTAATTTAATTACTTTCCTAATATTTAGGACCTTAAAATTAATTAAAACTTTACTTATTAAATTTTTCCTTATTTAAACTATGTAAAGATTCTTAATATATAGGACTTTAAAATTCATTAAGAATTTACCTTATATCAATCCTTTTTCTTGATTAAATTATGTAACAGAACTAAAATTCCTTACATTTGAAAAAAAAAATCGTTTTGGTAAAATACAGCAGCTGTCCGGAATATAAATTGGACAGGAAAATGTAAATACTCTTAAAGAGACTCTGTTGGCTGCAGGTCGACAAATGGAATACACCTCACCTAGGTCCCCGCATGTATACACGCATATGCTCTCACATGGCCTCTAGATATATATGTACCTGCAAAAAAATGTGCAGCAAGTATAGTATGAGTACGTAAGCAACGTGTACCCAGTAAGTATCTAGACTAACCCAGAGAAGTTGTGACGAGAGGTCGACGTCGATGCTTACTAGTGGTCCAATAAGGCAAATACAGTAAGAAGTGAAACACATATGGGGTATAATAAATACGTGAATTAAACAAATATAAATATGTGGTACAATCTTCCTCTCAACAATAAACTCAGATCTCGATTAGCAGTCACCTCCTCCCCCAGAGTACATATATATATATATATAATGGACCTCACCAGATGGGTCGCCATAATTCAAATCAGGAAAAACTCCCGGATACACTAGCCCTTGGTACAATTAATACGCACGATTCCCTAGAATGATGCGCATGTTCAATTTCACATGTTGTCATATTTCCTTTTTAGTTTCACCAAGAACGTATAGCCCTTAAAGATTTAAGAGTTTTTCTATAGATATTTTTGAAAAATTATTCTCAAATTCATTCGAAGAGACACAAATAGAGTTAATTAGCTATAATTTTATTACGATTCTTCAAAAAATATCAAATAACACAATAGATTAACTGCACATGAATTAATTATTTTTTAGGCTTAATTGTATATGAATTAATTATTTTGTATAACTACAGTAAAAATTTTAAAATGCATATTTAATTGCTTTGCTCTCAACAATTTTACGTGCTTCATGTACTTTCCATGAATGTATTTTTATGTTTTCTCTTTGGTGATGATGTAATAAAATATGATCATCACGTTAAGCGTCTAAATATTACTTATATGGATTTGTTTTCAATTAGCACAATTTATATAAGGTAAAATGCTAATGGATTTTAAAGTTCTAAATATTAGGACTTTTACCTAGTTTAATAAGGAAAGATCTAATAAATAAAATTTGAGTTGATTCTAAATTCCTAAATATTAGGAAAGTAATTTAAATTACAATTTCATCCAATGCAAAATATATTTTTAAAGGGTAAAAAAGGCGAACGACATTTCGTTGAGGGCCTAAGTGCTTTTAATATAATATAGATAACGTTGTGAATTCACAACGCATACTATTATGAACATGTTTACCCGAAAAATGGATAGAGTTGAATTTATACGCAGTTCCGAGGATATGTAGCGTAACTTAACACAAAGTGTAAGGATAAATAGAAATATAAATATAGATCGCAGAGAATGCGAAATAGATAAGGTTGTTAGGAACAATGAATCTTAGGATTCAACAAATAAAATCAATCTAAGAAATTTGAAAGAACGATTCTTTACTGTAGAAGAATATAGCGCTTTTATTATAATGTAAGACTGAGAAAAACTTGTCTTACAGAAATGGTAACCAAGCCCTTTTGTAGTGGAGGGATTTGGCTCTAAGCATAATAAAATAAACATTCAGTTGAAGACCCCATGATAAGTCAGCTTTTTCACAATTTCTGCCAAGATTCTCTCTAGTGGGATTGCAACGGCTTTTGTCTGCGAGCTAGATCTTGCTTAGAACCCTCGATTTTTGGTTTGAGCTTGATTTCCACTCGAGCTCATGATCTTGGTTCGAGCCCGATCCTGGATCGATCCCTCGAATTGATTCGAGATCAATGTTGGTTGGTCTCTAGATTATCAGCATGATAGATCTACTCTACATCATGATTCGATTTCGATTCGAGCTTGATAATGATATCGAACTCGACACGGATCGGCCTCCCTGGGTTCCAGATTAATTTGTTCCACCTTCAGAATTTTACTTCGATAGATCACCGTTCGAACTCGATCGGACGTGCTAAGGCCGAAATCTATTTTGACCGTATATAGAACTCACGTCGTATACTATTATGGTTGAATCCTACGGGTATCTAACATGAATCCACAGCCCTTCACGATTCTGAACATATACTATTTCTTTTAACTTGGAGTTTTTATCTTTCTTCCTTTAACATGAATCCTTGTAGTTTTATTAGAATCCATAGTACTTCCTTGTTTTTAATATTTTGAATGTGTAACACTTTATATTTATATTATTACTATATTAAAAGCGCGAAATTCTTTACCGAAATATCGTTCGTCTTTTTACCCTTTTAAAATAGATTACACACTAGATAAAATAATCATATAATTATTTTTCTAATATTTAAGAGTATAAAATTAATTAAAATTTTATTTATTAATTAACTTTTCTTATTTTAACTATGTAAAAAATACTACATTTAGGACTCAAAATTTAAATTTTATTTTATATTATTTTTTTCTTATTTGACAAACTTTTATGAACTTCATAAGTGCCTTTGGAGTTTAATACGTGTAACAAGTATTACATTTAGTTTAATGTCAATTGCTAATTTTCAACAATATATTCTTATATACATTTTATACTAATTGTCGCGATGCACACGTGCAACGCACGTACACTAAAGCTAGTTCATACTAAAAAGTGTGATGTCACTCGCTAGTGATTAATGAAATTCATAATATAGTATTTTAATATATCTATTCATCCTAATTTTTCTATATTATTTAAAATCTACACATAGTATGTGAGATACTTTCACATCACTAAATTATAATTTGTTAAATAAAATGACAAATAAAAAGAAAGGAAAGCTCGTTTGAAGAATTTGCTAGAGAAAACTTTATAAGGTAAATAT